GGCATGTTGTAGTGGGAACACTTTTGGACCTGCCTGAGACCTAGATGCTAATTCAGACTCTGTCTGCTACAAACTGGAAATACATGGTTGTCCTTCCTGGGGCATTTCTTTATTTTTATATCTTTAATATATTTTTATTGATTTCAGAGAAGGAGGAATAGGGAGAGAGAGATAGAAATATCAATGATGAGAGAGAATCATTGATCAGCTGCCTCCTGCATGCCCCCTGCTGGGGATCAAGCCTGCATGTGTCCTTGACCGGAATTGAACCCAGGACTCTTCAGTCTTCAGGCCAATGTTCCATCCACTGAGCCAAACCAGCTAGGGCTTCCTGGGACATTTCTAACATAGAGGTTGGACTAGAGGCTCTGAAGTACCTATCTGATATTTCATTTTATAATCAGGTATATTATAAACAAAATAATAGTAAATTTTACATGTAATGCCATAGCAATCCTGAATAGCAACTTTTTGGTTTTATACAGGTTTCATATGCACAATCCTACAGCACATCATCTGTATACTGTATGCTGTGTTCACCACCCAGGTCAAGTCTCCATTCATCACTATTTATCCCCCCTAAACCCTCCTCCACCTTCCCACCCCACCCCCAATTTTCTTAATATGACCGTGACAGTATAGTCCAGGGGTCCTCAAACTTTTTAAACGGGGCCAGTTCACTGTCCCTCAGACCGTTGGAGGGCCGGACTATAGTTTAAAAAATAAACTATGAACAAATTCCTATGCACACTGCACATATCTTATTTTGAAGTAAAAAAACAAAACGGGAACAAATACAATATTTGTATTTGCATGTGGCCCGCGGGCCGTAGTTTGAGGACCCCTGGTAGTCTCAATGCAAGGAACACATATGTTTTAAAGTGACTTAGTGTGTTCTAAGTCTGTTGGCTTTAAAATTATAAACCTTGGCAAAATCTCCGATACTGTTTTTAAATGGTATAAGCTTCACTGTTGTGGATCATTCATTGGGGTCCAGCAAATGACTGAGTTGGCTTGCAGTATAATGAAATGGATATACTTAGGATGAAAGAAACTCTGGTCCAGCTGCTTTTCATGAAGCTGAAATAATGAAGCAGCCTGGTGAGTTGAATCAGATTCAGTATTGGTGGGAGCATCTTGATGTGCTGCTGCTAGAGTTAAATGTGACCATCTGATGTAGGGGAAAGTGCCAAGCAGTGCTGCCTTATAACTAGAATATGTTGTAATTCCAGCTTGAGGCTTTCTTCAACATTTTTATTGTGATATAATCCACATAGCATAAAACCCACCCACTTAATGTGTAAAAGTCATAGAGTTGTGCATCCATCACCAATATCTGATTCCAGAACATTTTCATCTTCCTCAAAAATAATTCCTTACCTTTTAAGCAGTCATTTCTCCCCCATTCCCTTCTCCACTCAGCCCTGGCAACTACTAATCTACTGTATGGGTTTGCCAATTCTGGACATTTCATATAAATAAAATCATATACTCAGTGTAACATTACATAGTGATAGATATCATAAAATAAGATAAAATGATTAGGCCTTAAATAAGTGATTATACAAAGTATATAAGATTTTCTTAAGTTTTGAAAACCCCCATGAATTTTTACTTGACTCTCTTAAGTTTGAAAATAGACACCTTCAAAGGCCAAGAGAATACCTTTTGGAGAATGCTTTCTAAGCTGGTTCCTAACATTCTTGAACTGAGAAATTATAATTATTTCTCTGGCTTAACTAATTAAGAGATAATTAGTTTCTATGCCCATTAATGCTTCAACAAGGGTATCATTTTAATTCTTTTGGAGTAAAAGCAGAATATCCTAGAAGTTAAAAAAATGACAGTTATATAAGTAAATTTAAATGATGGTAATGTAATTTTATTCTGTAGTCAATGTTGACTTTTCTATTAACTTATATGAAGTGGAGAGGGGCATTGCTCAGATAAAAACTTTGAAAGAAAAAAATATACAATATGTGGCTTTGATGGTCAGTTTTATGCTAGCTTTATGAATTCCTTTTTAAATTTTTGTTTATTGATTGATGAGAGAGAGACATCTATTTGTTGTTCCACTTACTTAAGCATTCAGTGGTTGATTCTTGTGAGTGCCCTGACAAGAGATCGAACCCGCAACCTTAGCGTATCAGGAATCAGCTAAGCTACACAGCTAGCACAGGATTTTTTTTCTTAGTGAATCTGAGTTCCTGAAAATCCCCTCCTTGTTTCTTCCTTGTGCTCTGCCTTTTCTGTATTTAAGTTCCTAGTTTGTGTTTCCTAAAGTGCTGTATATATAGCTTTGGCTCTACCATGATTTTAAACTGATGCACAAATACTTTTTATTCTAATAGTTATTTTTTTAAATAGTTATATATTGTGATATGATTTGGAAAAATATAACTAGCCTTCTAACCTGTCATTTCATAGATATTATTACTTGAGGTAAAGCTGTAATATTAAGTCATGGTATTAAGTCTACGTATTTTCTTAAAATTACTCTATAATAATAAAAGCATAATATGCTAATTAGACCAGACAGCCAAACGACCTTCCGGACATCATTCCCAACGAAGCCGTGGAGGCAGGGGCCAAGGCAGAGGCGGTTAGGGGTGATCAGGCAGTCAGGCAAGTAGTTGAACCACTGAGTTAGGGGCAATCAGGCAGGCAGAGGGGTTAAAGGCAATCAGGCAGGCAGGCAGAGGGGTTAAAGGCAATCAGGCAGGCAGGCAGGTGAGTGGTTAGGAGCCAGCGGTCCTGGATTGAGAGGGTGCAGGCCAGGCTGAGGGACCCCCTTCTTCCCCTCCCCACTCCCATGCACGAATTTCATGCACCGGGCCTCTAGTAAATAATAATACAGATGGTATACTGAAAGGAGAAAAATCATGAATATGGTATGAGAATGTCTGAAGCTTGGTAAACACTGTGTTAAATTGTGCCCATTGACATTGTTTTCCTTTTGGGTACCTGTATTCAGAGAAGAGTCGCTTTGCTACTAATCATAATCCCATTACCTATCCCAAGTCCCAGGTTAAGAAGAAAGATGTTTATCCTGAAACCAGGTTAGGAAGTGCTCATTGTTATAATATCTAGATAACAAACCAATCCTATTTTAAATAATTAACGCTGCCCTGGCTGGTGTGGCACAGTTGGCTGGAGCATTGTCCCATACCCCAAAGGTGGCAGGTTCGATTCCAATCAAGGTTCCATCTCATCAGGGCACATTGGGAGGCAACAGATCAATGTTTCTGTCTCACATCAGTGTTTCTTGCTCTCCCCCTCTCCTTTCCTCTCTCTAAAAATCAATTTTAAAAAAAAGATTCTCTAAAAATAAATAAATGAATTAACACTAACCTGTATATTGGCATTTTTCTGTGGGAAACACTGTATATAAGCTTTGATTTGGCAGACAAATCTATTCTTGTAAACCAGGACAATTTTATATACCTAGTTGGGTAAACAATGTGCTCCTTCCCTTAAGTCTCCCTTTACCTCTCCTTTTCTCCTTAAGTGGATTGGGGATAAGGATTTTTATTATTATTATTATTTATTTATTTATTTTAAGGATCTCATTATGACTCAGCCAAGGGGACTGGGAAAGAACTCTGGATGCTCTTGGGATTTCTCTGTCAGGGATGTGTCAGTTCTCAGCACTGTTATTATGCAGGATTTTCAGGTTGGTTAGGGCCTGCTTCCTTGGCCAGTTGCTTCTAGACTGACTTAGCTGGAACTTCAGCCTGTTTCAAGATGCCTTGTATTTGACAGCCATATGGTAAGCATGGATCCTTTGGCTTTCCTCCAGGAATTTCATACCCACTTTAGGAATTACTTTTTGGTTCCTATGTATCTGAATTTGTTCTCAGAGTTAGTGTTTCGTTTTTAACTGATACAGCAACAGGTTCAATGGATAAGAATGTCATCTGCTTAATAAGACAAATGAGGGAGGGCACTTGAAACATCTTCTTTCCTAGCCTATACATTTAATGTGGGATGGTCCTAGAGATGAATCATCTCAGTCTGAGTTACTAGCTGTTTATCACACTTCTTTAATGATAGTTACTTATAAAATGGAAATGTTTTTCTTTTCACAGTTCAAATTAACAATATTCTAGTGTTAGTCATTTCCTGATGCAGTTACATAAAAAATGAAGCCCAGAGAAATGTCATCTGTGCCAGGATAATGTTAGCACTTTTTGGGTGGTCAGAGTAAAATCTGTGTTTCGTGTTGTAGGCAAAACTATGTAGCCATGTGTCCCTATTAGAAAATCAGCTGGAGTAGGGTACTTAGGAAAGAATATAGGTGTGAGGAGTAGTTTTTTCTGCTTGTTTGAAAAGTTGGACTTGAAATGCTTAATTCTGAAGCAGGCTGATTTTTAAAAAATGTGTATTGATTGGTGATGGCAATCTTTAGTCTACTCATTCAAATGTTAATCTCTTTTAGAAACAATGTCACAGATACACCCAGAAATTATGTTCTACCCGCTACTTTTCTGGGAATCCCTTAGCCTAGTTAAGTTGACACAAAAAATTAACCATCACAGTTCACAGTACACTGTTGCCTGAAATTGGGTCTCTCTTCTGAAAGGGGGCTCACAGGCTGTCATGGAGCCCCAGCCGAAGATGCCTAATAGTTCTATTTTTTATGAACCTTCACCTCCAGGAAGGCCTCATTGTATGGAGAAGGCTGATTTTTTAAAATCAGAATTTTAAAGCAGTGTGTTCTAAGTGGTGTTTTGGTTTTTTTTTTTTTCAGCCTGGACTGAATTTCTCATTTATGCATTATTTGGGATGTTACAGAAAAACTGCACTTAAAATTAGTCATATTTAGCCTGAACCTTTATGGCTAAGCTTTAATGTGGGTTATTTGATGTCTTAATTATTCAGAATAGGTATTTCAGTCAATACTTAAACCTCTCTATTGCTTGCCACAGTGCCTTATACCTAATAGACAATATATTTTTAAAGTTGAATTGATTATAACTTTTACTTTTTTTTTTTTGTAGAAAAGGTATAGTTTGGCAGTGGGTCCTGCCAAAAAAGACCCAAAAGTTAAGGGTGTCCAGCCAGCAGCTGTACAAGCTTTTCTCAGAAGAAAAGAGGAGGAGCTCAGACGAAAAGGTATGTTATCTCTAGCCTTATTCTCAATTTTATTGTGTTGTTGGTTTTTTTTGTTCTGTTTGTTAGTCTTCCGGTGAGGGTATTTTTTTCATTGATTTTAGGGAGACTGGGAAGGAGAGAGGAACATTGATGCGAGAGAGTCAGATCAATTGGTTGCCTTCCATGAGGGATCCAATCTGAAATTCAAGTAGTACGTCCCTTGACCGGAATCAAACCCGCCATCCTTCTGTGCGTGGGCAGTCTAACTACTGAGCCACGCCGGCCAGGACTTATCTCAATTTTAAAGTCTTCTACCTTCACAGCTAGCTTATACTTAACCAATGGATATTCGTAATAACATAACAGGCTAATGGATTTGTTGCGTATGTGTATGAATCAACTGTATTTATTTATAGCAGTATATACATTGTGTGTTTTTATTGATTTCAGAGAGGAAGGGAGAGAGAGAAACTTCAATGATGAGAATCATTGTTCAGCTGCCTCCTGCACGCCCCCTACTGGGGATCAAGCCCACAACCTGGGCATGTGCTCTAACCGGGAATCAAACCATGACCTCCTGGTTCATAGGTCAACACTCTACCACTGAGCCACACCAATCGGGTCATGTTCTTGCATTGATCATTTGTATGGGTGTTATCTTTTATTCCCCCTTAAATAAAAGCTTTTTGGGAAAAGCGATATCTTCTGAATCTGCTTCTAGCCTATTTTGTATTTTAATTTTTTGGTTATTATTAAAAGTATTATCTAAAAAATTAAAATAGAGGCAATTTTTGAAAACTAGTAAACTCAAGAAGTAATTTTACTTCATGAGAAGGAAACTGATTTAATAAGTTTAAGTATTCATTGATTCTAATAACTATTAAATTGGTACTAATGTTTCCTTAACTTGGTATATTTGGTATGAACTATTTTCTATATTTAAAGTTAAAAGTCAAGTCTCTCGCTTAGTCATATAGAAAAACCCATATGTAACCCTCTCATTGTATTCAGATGACTCAACTAATACTCATTCAAATGACTTTCTCATTTGATTCCTAGATGTCTTCAAACTGTATTGATTTTTTTGTGTGTGCTTTTTAAATATATTTTTATTGATTTCAGAGAGGAAGGGAGCGGGAGAGAGAGAGAGAGAGAGAAAGAAACATCAATGATGAGAATCATTGATCAGCTGCCTCCTGCACGCCCCCTACCTGAGATCGAGCCCGCAGCCCAGACATGTGCCCTGACCAGGAATGGAACTGTGACCTCCTGATTCATAGGTCAATGCTGAACCACTGAGCCACGCCGGCCAGGCTGTATTGGTGTTTTTTATTGTTGTTTTTTGTTAATCCTCACTGGAGGATATTTTTTCCATTGATTTTAGAGAAAGTGAAAGGGACAGGGAAGGGGAGAGGGGTGAGAGGAAAACATTGATGTGAGAGAGCCACATTAATTGGTTTCCTCCTGTGTGTGCCCCAACTGGAGCAGGTAACCTGCAACTCAGGTACATGCCCTTGACCAGATTCGAACCCATGACCCTTCAGTTTGTGGACCGACGCTCTAATCACGGAGCCGTGCCAGCCAGGGCCAAACTATATCGTTTCAAACTACATGTTGCTTATGTTTTGGCCACCAACTGATTGCTTATAAACATACTGTTATCTTGAGACCTTAAAATATGTTCTTTTTTGTCCCTTTTAGCCTTAGAGGAAAAAAGGAGAAAAGAAGAACTAGTGAAAAAGCGAATTGAGTTAAAACATGACAAGAAAGCAAGAGCTATGGCCAAGAGGACAAAGGACAATTTTTATGGTTACAATGGGGTTCCTGTTGAGGAAAAGTCAAAGAAAAGACAGGCAATGGAAAGCCATGGTCAGGGAACAGACCAAGAGTATGAGATGGAAGAAGAGGAAGAATTCTTAGAATACAATCAAGCAGCATCAGAGCAGGAGTATGAAGAAGAGCAAGAACCTCCTCCCAAAGTTGAAAGTAAACCAAAGGTCCCCCTTAAAAGTGCCCCACCACTCATGAACTTCACTGACTTACTCAGGCTGGCTGAGAAAAAGCAGTACGAACCAGTGGAAATCAAGGTGGTGAAGAAAACAGAAGAGCGGCCTATGACTGCACGAGAACTTAGGGAGCGAGAATTTCTTGAACGAAGGCATAGGAAAAAGAAACCTGAGGCAGATGCAAGACTACCTCCAACCAAAAAGGCACCCTCTCAGACAGAAAGTATGGGCACAAAACCTAGCAGAGTTTCTGGGAACAAGCATCCTTCTTCCAAGGGTACTCCCCTTCCTCGTGATGAGAAGAAATCCAGACCCAGCGCAGCTAATGAGAAACATTTAGGTTTGTTTTCATCCAAATCCATGCCAGGAGAGAGGACCAAAGCAGGATCTAGCAACTGCTCCCAACCCTCGCTTCGGAAGGACCATGACAGGCCTGTTTTCAATGGGGCTGGAAAGACCCACTCGAGCACCTATTCACCAAGTGTCCCAAAGACTTCTGCTAAAGGGATGCAGAAATCTGTTACTGAGCACAAAGCCAAAAAATCTCCTCCCCATCCTAGCCATTCCAGACCTGGACCCGTGGTCACCCCACATAAGGCTAAGAGTCCAGGTGTCAAGCAGCCAGGCAGCAGTTCCAGCCTAGCTCCTGGGCGGCCCAGCACAGTGAGTGTTCGGCCTACAGTTAGTTCTGGCTCCGTGCCCAAGCGCCAGGATGGCAGCTCCAGCTCAGGACCTGAGCGATCAGTCAGTGGGACCAAGAGGCCAGCCAGTGACTCAAATCCTCCTAGAAGGACAGGTGGCTCTGGACGACCCATCAGTGGCTCAGGTGGTTCTGGGAAGTCAGTGGTCAGCCCTGGTGGCCCTGGGCGGCCTGTGCACAGTCCACATGACCGACGACCAATGAGTGGCTCAGTGCCCCCCGGGCGGTCAGTCAGTGGCTCAGTTCCAGCTGGACGGACTGTCAGTAGTTCAGGCCCTGGAAGACCAGTGAGCAGCTTGGGACCTGGGCGAATAGTTAGTAGCTCAGGTCCCCCCCATAAGCCCAAATGCACTGTTGTCTCAGAAACAATATCTTCTAAGAATATCATTACCCGGCCCAGCAATGGACAGATGAATGGAATGAAGCCTTCCTTGGCTGGCTACAGATCTGCCCAAGGTAAAATTGCCCCTCCCTAAGAGTTTCTACTTGTCACTAGGAAATTGGAAAACACCCCTTTTAAAAATATAACCAGGGACCCTGTAATCCTTCTATGTGCCCTTTAATGTATTCGTATGTTGACAGAATCCTGGTTTGTGGTTTTTTTTTTGTCTGTGCCCGAGAATTCCTTTAGTGATCATAGCTTGGAAAAGTCTTTAGAAAGAGACTTATCTAGGTCCTGTGTGTTTATCCCAGTAATGTCTCCAAGTTTAATAACCTTAGCTCTGTGATTTGTAAGACAGTGAGTGTATATGCCTAAATCGTTCAACATTGGTTCTCCACCGAGAATGATTTTGATCCCTAGTGAACATTTGGCAATGTCTAGAGATATTTTTGATTGACACAACTGGGGATGGGATGCTACATAGCATCTGTTAGACAGAAGGCGGGAATGCTGCTATTATTCTACAATGCACAGGACAACTTCCTCATAACAAAGAATTATCCGGCCCAATATGTCAGTAATGCCGAAGCTGAGAAAGAAGCTTTGAGCTAATGAGGCAAGCCATGCATATTAAAACTTTAGAAGAACAAAAGGAATGTCTGTAATCAAGGACAAGAAAGCAGTCTCCAGATGCTGGTCTATTGGTCGGTGTCAGTCTTTTGCTAAAATTTTAATCAGTCTTTTGGAAAAATGACAAAAATAAGGATAATATAGTGAATTTTTCCTAAAGTCAAACTTTACTCAGTTTGAACAGGTACCCGTAATTCTGAGAATCTTTTCTACTTTGTTGGACTTTTTATAAATGTAAGGACATTAATGGTGATAATAGATAGTAGATTGTTACCTATGGTGTCTTGTTTTTGCAAAATTAAAAGTTATTGATCCTATAGCTATTTGTAATTTTTTTTAATGTTGCCAATTTAAGTCCAGAAGAATGGAAACTACTAAGCTAGAAAATGTAAGACACAATAAGTCCTGGGATATACAGGAATTCTATTCCTTGTGGATACCGTGAAGCATCAGGGATGATGGAGGAATGACTCCATGCCGTGCACTAGCTTGCTGGCTCAGGTTTTTGAGAAGACCATCTTAATGACTTCTCAAAATGTCAGTTTACATAGAACTCTGTTGAAACTATTATTATTTTTGGGGGGAGCGGGGGACTATTTCAAGTTTTAATGCTCTTATAAATAATGGCTTTTCTGTTCTTAGGTCCTCAAAGGCTTCCCTTCCCTAGTGGTTACAAAAGACCGAGAGACTGTGAAGAGGAGGAAGATGAGGACTATGACTCTGAAATGAAAGATTTTATCGAAGATGAAGGAGAATCTCAGGAAGAAATATCCAAGCACATTCGCGAAATCTTTGGCTATGACCGAAAAAAGTAAGGCCAAAGAAGATTTATATATATACTTTTCATTTTGAATAACTCATGCAAAGAGAAAAAATAAACATTAATAGTTGAGGTATTGAATGCAATTCTTAGCTAGGAATTCTTGCATGATTTAGCTTTACTTCTTTAGTATTTATTATTTAAGAATTAACTCAGAATTATTTGTGTAGCTCTTTGCATGAGTGCCAAAAACTATCCCCTTTTTAAAAGTTTTCTTTTAGATGTATATTTAATGTGAGTAAAGCACTGTGGTATGGTAGAAAACAGATTGGCTTTGAAATCAGAAAGCCATCCACAAAGCTATGTTGAAAGCTGATCTGACACCTGCTTTTCTTTGGTGTAAAGAACTTTGCTACTCAAAAGTGTGGTTCCCTGGACCAACAGCATTGGTATCACCTGGAAGCTTGTTAGAAATGCAGGCTCTCAGGCCCCACTTCAGATCTACTGAGTCCAAATCAGCTTTATAAGGTGCCCAGGTGATATGCACATTAAAGTTTGAGAAGCAGAGGAAAGATCAGGGTTTGAGTGGAAGTTCCACCACTTGTTAGCTAGGTAAACTTGAGTAAGTTATTTTATGTAAAATGATATTTGGAAGGATTAAATGAAGTAGTATGTGTATAGAACAGAAAGGCTGTACCACATTAGTTAAGCTATGTATTCTTGGTCAAGCCATTAACCTATGTGCTTCAGTCTCTGTTCTAAAAGTCCTTCCCTACCTCATGATGGTCATAAAGTTCAAATGAAATATATACAAAATAATTTTCACATATATTGTGCTTTCAGGATTTTAATATAAACTATCACGTAAGTAGAGGTGAGTTGAGTAAGCATTGGATTGATACCTTCATCAGCATTAGATTCAGGAATAGTTGCCTCTGGGAGTAATAAGGGCTCATTTAATTTGTCTTTACTTCAGAAATCCACCTCTACCCATCCTTTGCTCCCCTATTCCCTGCCAAGTGAGGAGGAGGAACCCTAAGTGTGTTTGATTTAGTTGTAAAGATGTTGCTTTTAAAAACAGCAGGATTTAGTTCCTTTAGAAAATTGAATTTTTGTTATTTTTTTAAACAATTTTGATTCCCTCTCTTCAGATACAAAGATGAAAGTGATTATGCCTTACGTTACATGGAGAGTAGTTGGAAAGAACAGCAGAAGGAAGAAGCAAAGAGGTAAGCAAAAAACTTACATTTGTGTTGGCATGTCCTAAAACTCCTATTTGCTGCTTCTAGTTGTACCATTGGGAACAGGGGCTTTGGGCCACACAATTCTGAATTCCAGTCCTGCTTACTTGTTGTGGGGCTTTAGACAAATTCCTTAGCTTTTCTAATTCTTGTTTTCTTGTTTGTAAAATGAGAATATACTGTTTTTACTGCTTGGGGTATTGTGAGGATTAAGATAATGTTGACACATTGCCTAGGGCAGTGCCTCATCCATGTAGGCACATGACAACTGTTTGAAGCCACCTCTGATCCCAGCATAGCATGGTCTTGGTTTTTTTGTTCCCCATCCTGATTCCCTTTGACATCAGACACATCTCAGTCGTGCCTAACCTGTGCCACTGCTGGCCTCAGGGACCTGATGAGGGATATTAAATTCCCCCTGTCTGATTCCCGTTTGGCTACCTGGTAATGAAAATTTCTTGGGTAGAGGTAACCAATGATTATTAGTACTTTGTTTATAGCATTTACTTGGTGAAATAATTGACTTCAGTCTCAACCTAGAACATTAAACCTTAAACCTTTTTCTCCCTCTTGCCCTTCCTTGTCCTGTGACTAGGTATCAAGCTAAAGTGTTGGTAAGGGACAAGCATGGAATGTTATGTTATTTTTGTATAAGTATTTTTTTTTTTTTACTTTATTACTTTAAGAGGAAAATAAAATTTTGAGGTGGTGAGGTCTTTTTTAAAAATATATATTTTTATTGATTTTAGGGAGGGGGAGAGATAGAAACATCAATGAGAGAGAATCATTGATCGGCTGCCTCCTGCACACCCCCTACTGGGAATCAAACCATGACTTCCTGGATCATAGGTCGATGCTCAAACCACTGAGCCACAGCAGGCAAGCTGTGATGTCTTTTTTCCACTATAATTTGAGGCAATGGCATGGCTCTTGGTAGTAATTTTGAGTACATACTACATTCCATCTGAGCTCTCAGTGGAAATTTCATTCTTGCTTTTTAAAGAAAGTAGAATCTTTGTCCTACCCTATATAAGCAGCTGGCTTATGGGGGGGCGGCAGAGCAGATTTTTGTGGATGACCTGCTGCTCTCCCATACTACCAGCAGTATTGGAATAAACAGTCCTTTTCTGAAAAGAAAAGAAGGGAAGGGAAAGCAATTTCATGTACATATATTGACAAATACCATTTTTTCTTTTCCTTTTTTGACAGTTTAAGACTAGGTATGCAAGAGGACTTAGAGGAAATGAGACGGGAGGAAGAAGCAATGAAATGCCGAAAGGTCAAGAAGCTGAAAAGACGTTAGCTGCTGCTTTTATTTATTTTTGTGAAACTCTGGAGACACTCTACTGCAAAGAAGTCCTGCCTTCGGACTGAAGAAGCCCATTATCACTTTAGATTTATACTTGGGACCTCATGGACAAGGAATGGATACTATATATTTTGAGCATAAAGTATTTTCAAATACTTACCGGGGTGAAATCTGTAGTGCAGATGACATAATGCCCAGTGAGTGCTCTTAGGAAGTTAACTGCTCACAGGTGCCGGCCTTGATCCTGATGAGCTATGCACTCTAATGTGGGCCCACTCAACAGTCAGCCAATCTTCTTTTGTTCCTTTGCTAATTTAAAAAGGAAAAAAGATTGCTTCTTGACTTCCATAATTCTGTTGATGGTTGAGTAGGGCAATGGCTGGCTCCCAATCAAACTTATTTTGTCTTTTTATGAGGAATCTGGCCCTTCCATGAATGTTGCCAGCAATAAAGTGACCTGTTCTAATCTATATGTTTGGATTGAGAACTTGAAAATGTAGAGTAGGCTTTATAATTATATGGATGTCATCTCTGTGACTTTGAAGTAAAAAGTAGAATAAATTATATTGTATTCTATATTCATGGATTGGATGCTGAGCATTCTTATTCACTGATTTAGGTGATTAGGCAACTAACCAAAAAAATTTCAATTTAAAAAACAAGCTATGCCATTTGGTATAAGAATATTCTTTTCCAAGTTTTCCTTTCAGATTTATTGTAAAATAGACAATGTTACTGTGCTGAATTTTATCTAAAAAGTCATTTTATATTGAAGAAAAAATATTTTATTCAAAGATTAGAGTTGAAAGAGTAATAGCTTAAAAAATAAGCAAGTGACACGTGAGGCGACCCTTACTCCTCCATTATGAAGATACTTTGGAATCCAAGGTGCCCTTGTATCTCTTGATGTTAATGACTTTGCATTTTTATCTTTAAATTCCTTAGCAATTAATGGCAAAAACCAAAAACTAAATTCATGTGTATCAAGAGCACCACTGACTCTTTTTACTCATATTGCACTTTTATTTCAAACTATGCACTGTGAAGAGATTGTTTCCCCAAGTTGAAAAGGATGTTTCCTGCTACTGGTGGTGTCCTGGGCTGTGGAACTTGCTTCCTTACCTTTCTTCAAGTCCTCTCTATAGACTTGAGCTCTCTTAAGCCTCAAATGCAAGCAATTCTCAGTCTGACTTAGGTTCTAGCTGGAGAGAAGCTAAGTCTCAAGGAAAGTCAGTGACAGAAAATGATGATAGAGAGCACTTGTCCTCGATGCTAAATGTGGAAGGTTGGGGACAGAGGGACAAAAGCTTACAGAACACTTATACAATAAAGGTTGTGGCTACTTTAGGCTGTTGGATGGTAGTAAAGGTTGTCCTACAAAGAATCCTTACTATTCAGTAGGTCCAAAACTTGTTTTGTGCTATTACTTTTTATTCAAAAAGCTTTCTTCTTCAAGTTTGGGTATTATACGTAACCATTTTTAGCCTTTCTTAATGAGTTGACCATGTGACTCAGTCCCTTAACCCTGACTCATTTTGAATTGAGTTTCACACTTTGAAAGTGCAAAGATTTAATTTTGAAGTTGAGTCCAATGAAAGGTGTCTTCATCACTAGGAATAGCACCCTTCCTAATGCTCCACATAGACTGTTACACTGGTGGCAGAAAATCCTATTAACTGCCTCACAGATCTCAAATACCTTCAGTCCAGTGAAATTGGTTTGAGGGTAGTGTGATGTTCCATGTAATAAAACAGGTTTGGAACATTATTTCCTTTGCTGCCATGTACTTCCTCCACCCCTTCAAATTCATTTTTCTTGGATAAATTTATTTTCAATATTCAGACTCTTTGAAATTGGCAATTACAATCAAGTGCTTGTCACAGCGGAAAGATTCTTGGCGGCTTGAAGTTTCCTAGCACTTTACTCAATGACATGTGTACAGAAAGGCACCATTGTGCTAGATAGAAGTTCCAGAACTTGGTAAGAAGTCAGGTTGTGTCCTTATGCGTCTGTCACTTCTGAGTGTTTCCTCTCTAATATGGATGTTGAATTTTAGTAATCTGCAACATCAACATTATAAAAGGGCAGTGGGAGTTTTTAACACACTAAAGTATCAAAGTAAGGAACAGACAAAGAAATTGAAAAATTAAAAAGAATACAGAAGATATAAACCTCATAATTAAAAAGATGAATCTGATGGTACATAGATCCCTGTATCATTTAACAATTCTTCCAGTGCCCCACCCACCTCAGAGTGTGCTCATTATTGGTTTTTTTTTTTTTTTTTTTTTTTTTGAAAAGTTCTGAGTCTTTTAAATTAATCTTGGCCTTGTTTCCAAATCCTGTCTTCCACTTTATTCTGTAATTCCTGACCACAAAGTTCACAAACCTTTGAAGAAACTGGAATGGGCTGTTATTTTTATCAAAGTTTACAAATTAAGTGCTTGATTTTCAATGTATCCTCCGTTTTGACTTTCAGATTTTATTAATTCAATATTTGAAGATGTGCCTTTTATTGGATAATGTTAATGCACGAATGTAGTAATGTTATTTCACGGTTGTAATAATGTTACATGATCATGGGTGTGGTATTCTCTAACAGATGACGTGAAAGGAAAGTAGTTTTCATAAAACTCGTATGCCTCTGATTGCACAGTCCCGCTTGCTTTTGATGGTTGCTATGTCAAAGCAAGGGCACTTTTAAGGCTACTTTCAGGACTTGTCTTTGTATTGTCTCTATACTATAAATGCAGTTATGTCCATTTGGAGGGCAGGGTACCACATGTCACAGGCAGCCTTACATGTGTGCCGTGAAAAGGTTCAAAGACTTAAAAAAAAGGAAGTCTATGGGAACTCAAAATTTCATTTTTTTAAATGTAATCCCCAAGATTTTCTCCAAGAAATAAATTACTGTTTTGTATTTTGTAACTTAAAAGCAGCTACTGGTACATTTCTGAGATATAGCAGGAGACCAAAACATGTTTGGAAAGAGAATAAATATATGAAGAGAGATGGTTGGTTTATTTTCAATGTGCTGAATATATTAGACTATTTATTTTATGAGTGAATGTGATGAAATAAATATTCAGGTTTTAGTGTATGATTAAGAATGGGATATATAGGTTTCTTTGAAGTTATTAAATCCATCATTTCTTTTACATAAACATTGTTTCTAAACAAGTTTAGAAACATTTACATAGCTTAGCTTGTTAACCTGGTGCTGTTGACCTGCAAGAGAATCTACTTTTGCACATACAGGTGAAAGTTTTGCAATTTATGTATAAAAGAAATTGTAGGCATTAAAAATATTTTATTGATATCTCCCTGGTTTGCACTTATTTACCAAAACTCATATTCCTATATCATCACCCTGAACATATTTCCAGCTGGAAACCCCAGTAGACTCATCAGACTTCAGAGATGGGGTTTGTCTCCTTATACACATGCCTCTGTTCGTTCTCCCTTATACACATCTGTTCAGACCCTACTAGTGACATATCATCTCTCCCACCAGCTTCCAGAAGGCACCTAAGTTAGGAGAACTGTTTGGAGGTGTACTCTGAACTGGAGGGAAAAAGAACTGGGTATATACTTATCAAGAAAAGCAAGCTCTGATCCCCTATAATAAGACCTGAGATGAATCTTTAGGAAGACATACATGAGGCACAACCATGCAGCCGAAGAATGCAGTCACTTCATGAAATATGTTGAGACTAAGTCATAAGTACAAGAGATGCTAGTATCCTAGGTTGAGAAATTACAAAGTTTTGCTTATGGGTTTTGAATTCACATTTCCTTCCACAAAAAAAAAAAAAAAGGCTAATCCATTCAGTGCATAGAGCCACTTACAAAATAGTTCAGCAAATGTGTATCAAATAGGCATCAACAAAATGTGTACATAACCAAAAGATATGCTGGTAAGGGTGCACTCCTGACAATGGAACTCTATCAGTCATCCAAGCAGCCACAGAATGGGAACAACTTATACATTTTATTTTAAAAGTACTATGTTTACTCCTGTTAGAGCTGTTCCTCCCTCCCCATCTCCCCTTAGGGTCAAAAAGCTCCAAATCACTAGAGGGCTTATTCAGAATAACCTAAGGCTCAGACACCCAGCGTAACTGGATAGATCTCATAGTTTCCATCCTTGGTCTCATAAACTCAAACTGCATCATAATGACTAAGCAGTTAGCTTTTGTTTCTACACTTGCCTGTTTAAGCAGCCGTCAGTGCAAAAAGAATCATCAGGCCACTTCTTTGGCTATACAGATGAAGAAGTCATTTGGACCATGAGGCAGTCAAGATCTTAGATACCCCAGTCTCTTGTTTGGCCCTTTTTCTTGACGCACAAAAGCATGCAAGGAAAAGGCCAGGATCTTAACCTTCACTGCAACTCAGCTGCGTGGGTTGGTAAGTTACTTACGACTCTCAACTTCATTTTTGCCGTTTTGTGAAATGAGGCTACTACTCGGTTACTGGAAGGATTAAAATAATGTAAAATTGAGTATCTTACACCTAATATGAAAATGAGGACCTTTCCCCCACAAGGTGGAAGCTTTGGGCTCTTAATAATAGTTGTGGGAAGGCCACAGAGAAATAGCCCCAAAGAATAGGCTTAAAGTTGCTGCAATCTCTAGCCCTTGAACATAATTTCAATCCTGGACCCAGGAGAAAGGCATTACTTGGGAAATAGGTCTAAAGAGCTCTTGAGAATTTCTATCCTTAAGGATACAGAACAGAGGAGAAACTGAACTGGATATCTTAGTCTTACTACCAGTCTTAGGGACTATGAAACAGAAGGGAATCAACCACTTCCATCCACCCCCAACTGTCTCCACAGCCTCCCTCTCCCTGTTTTGAGCTAACGGAATACCAAGTCTTTATCTTTAAAAGTACGGTAGCTTTTTACATAAAATGTGACAAAAAATAATGTGCAATTACTTTATGTGAAACCAACAACAGGAACTGTACAGCCAGCGGGTCAGGAGGGCTTCAGAGCTGCATTACTTCACCAGGATCATCTTTGCTTGTTTCCAGTGGGATCTGAAGGGAGAAAAGTATGTCAGGTGGGTCATGCTTAGTGTGGGCTGAGGTCATTGCCCTCCTTGCCAAGAGCGGACAGGGGTAGCTGCGTCCAATTCTGTCACCAAATGCCTCCGATCTCAGTTGCCAGAGGGGCTTAGCAGAATTGGAGCTGATGAGGCAGAGAAAGGCCAAATATCCAAGGTCCAACAGTAGGAGAGAGGAGAGAGACATGTGCCACCAGAACCATTACAAACCAGTGTTTACTTGAGGGAGAGTTAAGTGGGGTTGTTCGTGTGGGCTCGTCTAAGAAATGGTATTGAAGACGGCATACACAATGTCCCATGAGAACAAGACTAGGTCATCCATGTCAGGCAGCTTTGACACTGGGCCTGAGAAATCTTGACCTCTACACCGCCAGTTTATTTGAAAGAGACTGAAAAAGAATAGAGGCTCTTAGGAAAATGTATGTAAAAGATCACATGAAAGACAGAGGGAAGTCTCCCAACTGTAAGTGGAAAGTAAATAGTAATAAAAGTGGGTAAGCTACATAACTTCTTTGAAATAAAGAAGAGGGTGTTTGTTTCTAAAGTTACCAGAGTTGGATTTTGATGCTTAATTCATTTATCTGGGGCAGTGGTTCTCAACCTTCCTAATGCCGCGACCCTTTAATACAGTTCCTCATGTTGTGGTGACCCCCAATTTCATTGTTACAAATTGAACATAATTAAAGCATAGTGATTAATCACAAAAACAATATGTAATTATATGTGTTTTCCGATGGTCTTAGGCGACCCCTGTGAAAGGGTCGCTCAACCCCCAAAGGGGTCGCGACCCACAGGTTGAGAACCGCTGATCTGGGGGCACACATTTCAAAGTAGGAATAGAGAACAAAGTTGAGGGAACACTTACCCCTCCTGGGGGATACTTATATCCCTTCCACATTGTTCCTGCAATGAGAAGCATCCATAAGACAACAATCATTGTGGGCTTCTGGCTCAGTTGGTGGTGTGTGCAGGGGCAAATGGGTGTTTCTGAAAGGTGTGTTGTGTTCCCTGAGTCCTGGGAATTGGGCTGTCTTCATTCAAGGCCTGATGGTGGATGGCCCAGCATGATAGCTCCTGGCTGGAGCTTTGTGGTCTAGTCTGAACTGAAATGGCTTGCCATGGCCATTTTGGGGGGCAGGGCTCAGATACCAATTGTGACATCAGCTCCTGTGACCTTGGGGACCAGTCAGAGTGAGTATAGGATGGTTGGTCAGGATGCCAGATGTGTTGGGGCTAAAGAACCTTTATCAGGACGCCCCTGTTCCCTGGTGGCTGACTCTATGCAGTTGGGATCTAGCTGGCATCAGATCTTTATTAACTCATCACCTAACAATATTTTGACTTTCAGCTTTATGCAGTCAAATGAAGAAAAAAAAAAGAATTCCTATGTAAAACACAAAACAAAAAATACCCTCGATTAACTGGAAGGGTTAATTGGCTAGATATGTTATGAGCAATTACTTTATATAAGATTGTTAGGACTATTCAAAGAAAAAAAATTTTTTAATTATCGATTGATTGTGAGAGAGAAAGAGGAAGGGAGAGAGAGAAACATCAATTTGTTGTTCCATTTATTTATGCATTCATTGGTTGCTTCTTGTATATGTCCTGATGGGGGAATCTAACCAACTGGACTACCTGGACAGGGTGAAAAATCTTGAATGTTGTGAACTAGCACAGTTAAACTTTCATGCAAGGTAAACCCCCTTACAATTTCCTTCCGAAGGGAAAAGAAGGAACATGGGCTATTACACTCAATTTATAGCTGGAGAAACTGAGGCACAGGATAATTTCAGCAGTTTGGTCAGGAACACAGTGTGGCAATGGCTCAGCTAAACAAGTGCCCAGGGCCTCCATTCTCATCCCCACCCCCACAGAGGTGTGACTGTGTTGTGCCAATACCCTCCTAGGAATTCTGGGGCAGAGGGAGGGGGGGAAAGCACCACCATCATGCCTTGCTCTTAGAGTATCTGGGGCTGGCTGAGACTCGATACCCCTGCCTTCAGCGTAGCTGCCTAGAAAACCTGCTCCTGTAGTCGGTACATTACTAAGACTCAGAAGTAAGTTTCTTTAACTGTGGTAACATCTTTGAAAAAAACAGGTCTGAATAAAATGGGTGGGGATGATTTGATTTGCTAAAAGGACACTCTTAATGCTTGCTACAGGTGGGCTGGTCTAGCAGAATGAGTGTGAGGGGCTATTAAATCCAGAGATCTATGCTTACATCCCAGCTTCGCAAACAAGTTGGTCTGTGTGGCCTTGGATAAACAGTTGAGGTCATTGCCACAAGCAAATCTGGTTCATGATTGGTTGACTGGTTCATGATTTTGCTTAGTTTTTAAGTTAGCATTTACTAAATGCTAATTATCAAGCTTTGCATTAAATGCTTTACATGAATTCCCAAATATAATCCAACTAATAAGATCCTGAGATATCTCCATTACACAGATGAAGAAACTGCACTTCACAGAGATTAAAATTTCCCAAGTCACATAGCTAGTAAGTTGCACAGTTAGGACTTAACCCAAATTCACCTTAACTCCAATTCAGTATTTGCCAAAAGGGGCATTAAAATGCTGGTCCAATTTATTATAGAGCTTGTAAGTTAATAGATGGGAACAGTTTTCAAAACTAATACCTTTCCTTTCAAAACAGACCAGAGTTGTTAACAAATCTTTGAGCCTTGATCTGCTTTTCAGCAGTGCTCCCCAAATTCTATTTCCCTGCTATCTACCTCTAATCATTTCCCCTTCTACGGTTTATTATATTCTCCAGAGGAATACAAACTCTCCACTGAGATTTCAGGGTGTTACCAAGTCCTCTGGAAAGGGAGGAATTCAGCCCAACAGACATGATCAGCACTCACAGTTGCAGATCTTCATCCAAAGCCTGGCTGTTCCGTCGGGCCTTGCTCTCCTGAACAGGCCACCTCTCTTTCCACCTCAGAGTTGGAGTCTGAGTCAGAAATAAATGTAAAGGCAGACATGGCTTCACTTGTTGGTCCAGTAGGTAACTGTCTCTGTATAGGACTGGTAGGACAGCTGAAAGTCCCCTCCAAGGCCTACCTTCCCTCTCCTGATCAGCAACTTGGCCTGGACTTAGTGAAATCCAGAAGGTGGGCACTATCTTTGGCAGAGCCCTTATAAATCCCATAATGCTTTGAAATAAGTGACGCTATATACCTAAGGGTAAGGGGGATTTAAAGATGTCCCAATGGGATGGGAAGTAGCCTGGGAAACTAACTTGGCTCCCATCACATCCTGACTTCTAATTCGTGGTGAGATCTCAACTATCTTTCCCATTTGGTCAGAAACCCCAGCTGGGAGGGTTAGCCAGAGCCAGGACTGACTACCAGGAATTCGCAGGCAGAATCATTACTTACCATAAACTCCGGAAACGTGCCCATGTAACATGCAAGGCCAACAAAAAGCATCCAGCCAAGCACGATCATGATAAAAGAATTTCTAAGACACAATTGCAGAGTGAAAGACTTTTCACCAAATCTTGGCAAAGGAGTGTGCTCAAAAAACCCTCAGTTGGTAGAGGTCTCGCATGTCAGTTCCAGTCCTTGGCTCCAAGGGATCCAGAACTCCCTAGTAGAGAAGTTGGAGTCTAGTAGGGCATTGTGACATCATTGGTCACATGACTCATACTCACTACACATCAGGTCAGGTCATTCCTCTGTTCAAAACCCTCTCGTGGCTTCCTCTTTCAGAGTAAAAGCCTAACAAATAGAAAAGCAGCCCCTGACATTGGAACTGGTCTGACCCAGCTCTGTCTCAGTGTCGTTAGCTGACTTGGCACTCACAGCTAGGCTATGTGATTCTCCTGTCTCACAGAAAACCAACATCAGATGGGTCATTCAGACCATGACAAAATGAGACAAAACAAGGCCACTTCATAATTCTGTCTAAGCAAAAATAAGGTCACTGTATAACCCACAAAATACCAAACATCCTCTTCTCTCTGCAAATATAAGTGATTGCTGCTTTTTTTTTTAACCAATCACAGCTCTATCATCACGCTAGGTTGCCCATTTTATAGATATTTTAGATAACCAATCATAGAATTGTCCTTTCTGACAGCACCCAACCCAAAGTGGAGCTTTGCTTTCTTACACCGTCTCCCAAATCACCCAAAACCCGAATCCTATAATTATGGAGTCATCAACCCTACTTGTTTAAGTGTGTGTGCCTGCTGGTCTCTGGCTGAAGGGCATTGACAAGCCAGTCACAATGGTTTGCAAAGCACTCACGCTGGTTCTCACATTTTTTTCTTGCGTTAGAATTACCCAGGCTTCTTAAAACAGACTGCTCGACTCCACCCCCCTAAGGTTCTGAGTTTGTAGGTTTGAGGTGGGTTTTCAGAATTTGTATTTTTAACAAGTTGTGGGGGATGCTGAGGCTGTAAGTCTGGGGACCGCACGGGGTAGAATCACTGCCTTAGCTCCCTCTTATTTCTCTGAGTTAGCCTACTTCTGCTTCCTCACTTCTTACTTCATTCTACTCCAGCCATACTGGCCTCGCTGTTTCAAGCCTCCCCAAGCTCATGCCTGTTTTAGGACTTTGCTTTGAATATCCTCTATGAAATGCTTAATGTTTCAGCCCTCAAGGGGACCTACCCTGATCTCCTTATGCTGCCTTTTAAAATTGTATTACCATAACACAAAATTACTTTATAACATGCACTCTCATTTACTTATTTATTGTATTTATTATTTTGCTCTCCTCTTACGAATAAAAGCATCAGCCTTAGGAAAGCTGATGTTTTTGTGTATTTTGTTCACTTCTGTATCATCAGATCTAGAAAAATATCTAGCCAATAGTCAATGCTTAACCAAAAGTTTGTTGAATGAATAAATGCTCCTTCCAGCCTTTCAACCTTCTTCCCCTAATTGAGTCACAGCATTCTTGCCTCTAGGTCTTCCAATTAATACAATCACCCTACTGCCAGCCCAACCTCTTGACAGTTAAAAAAATATCTCCTGCTCCTGCTCCTGCTCCAGCTCCAGCCAAGAACACAAAGCAGGTAGCTCACAAGTCAAGATCACCAAACAAAGCCAGTATATTGCATAACTTCGCCTTCCTTCTTCAGGTGACCTAATCCACCAATCTACCGCCTCTCCTATTTTCAAAGTCGTTTTTTTGTTTTTGTTTTTCTTTCTCACCTGGCTGTTGCCTTTCTCTACCACCCATATGGTTACGGGACTCTCCCTTGATAAAAAAAAGGCAACCCCTCCCCGGATGCGGCATCCTCCTCACAGGGCTGTCCCCATCTCCCAGTTCTCCACTACGCTCCTGCTGGCTTCCTATCCTAGGTCCCTGACATTCTGATTTTGAACTTTCATGATCTCTTTCTTCCTAAATCCAACTACAATATTCGTCCTTGGTCTTTTTCGATACTGAATTTAACACCTCTTTCTAGGAACTCTCTTCCACCTCCTTGACTGCTTCTCCTCAGGTCCTTGCTAGTCCTCTCTTCATAGATGTGCCCAAGTTCCTTTCCCGCAAGCTGGACGCTACTTCCCTCGGAACCGCCGCGGAGTGTGGGCGTTGGAGGCGGGTTGACTTTCGAGCCGGGGGAGGGGCGGGGCCTTGCGCCTCCCGGGAAGTTTGGTCCTCGGCGGCCGCCGTCCAGGAGCCGGTGCGAAAGGAGGTCGAGGGGCTGGGGTCGCGGAATCGGACTCGGGAACCTGCCTGGAGATGGAATTCGACTGCGAGGGTCTGAGACGGCTGCTGGGCAAGGTGCGGGCAGCCCGCCGGGCTGGTGCTGGGGCCTCGGGGCCTTTGCACC